CTGGTTCCCTACTCCATGCCGGCACGTTGCATTCACATCTTGGATGTGCTACCATTTCTTGATTCTGTTTAGCAGCTCTGTCATATGCTGGTCACTCTTGAGGTCATTTTGTAATGCCCAAGCCCCACAATTGTGATAGTTGCCACAAACACACCACACTCTCGATCTCACGACGGGGGAGGGCTTCAGAAATTTGGGTTGAAAAATAGCGAGGGTTGTGGTGGGTTTTATTTCCTGGACTTTCTGAATTCTTCTTATAGCTGGTTTATTTCTGCACCTACTGAGAATGGATGGCATGGTCGCGGGTAGGAACCCACTCCAATTCTGTGTTCCCGTCGTGAATGCGGCGAGGTTCTGAAGGTGCCGTCAGGGGAATCCTAAGAGGCCACTCTCACTGAGGGGGCAGCCACCTCCTTCCAGACGTTTAACGGGCTTTTCTCCCCTCTCTCCTTCCCCGTAGTCGAGCCTGGGAGGGAAGGTCAGGCTGATGGTCACGGGAGCTGCACCAGTGTCCGCCACCGTGCTGACGTTTCTGAGAGCAGCGCTTGGCTGTCAGGTGAGATGGGATTTCCTGTCCAAATGTATACTGCCGGGCCACTGTCTTCATAAAGGTCGTCGTTTTATTCTCTGTGTTTGTCTGGAAGGCTGTGTTATTCCTAGAGAGCTGGGAGAAATGAATGCATATATATTCCCCTCGGCAAGGGAATAGACCCACCGTGTGTGTCATTTTCTCCAGGGTAAGGTGCACAACTTGCATTTAGAGGTCAGGCATGAGAGCGTAGGAAGGGATCACAAGCGAGTAGCACGTCAGCCTGAAAACCACACAGCGTCTTCCAAAGGGGTCAGGACACAGCAGGGGCTGTGACAAGGGGAGCAGGTGGGGAAGAGCCAGGGGCCGACCACGCTGGTGCATTCCTGGTTCGCCGCATGACCTGGAGCTTAGATGCTCTCACTTGCTGTCTGCAGGCAGTTCAGTGGAAAGTGAATATGGACCACAGCTGGTGTTCGGCATGAGAGTGAAGGTGTTTGGGTGCCAATAGGAAAGAATGAATTAGTAATGAAAGATTCTACTGAACAGAAAACTTGAAAAGAGATTCCACCCCAGCCAGAAGTTACTTAGGAGCTAGAAGAACGTAATTACTTTAGCACTTCCAGCAAGGGCGTGACTGTGCCCCGTTAACCATGTGTCATCTCTCGGCGGCCCAGTTTTATGAAGGCTACGGTCAGACAGAGTGCACTGCCGGCTGCTGCCTGAGTATGCCTGGAGACTGGACAGCAGGTAGGACTGGCCGAAGATTGCTCATGGGAACTGGGTGGTTGGGATCAGGTTATTGGGGTGGTTAGAATCTCTTTCATCATTCATAGACTTACTAACCCACTTCACCAACTAGTGCTACTTTGGCTCGGATTTTTAGGCCTCAGGGCAGAAGCCAAGGCAATGCACCAGTGTATGGCAGTTGGGTGGCAAGAGTGATTTGTTAGTTTAACCAGTTTAGAAATATTTGACCTAACAGATCTTTCTAGTAGTTGGTTAGGCAAATACAGCTAGCAGGTCTGCTTATTTGTATTCAGTTAATTATTTGTAATTATTAAAAGTGTGTGTGTTTCTCCACAAACAGTGACTCAATATACACCGTGTCTTGGTGGCCTGTGCTATGCGTTGGAAGTACAGCCCTTTTATTTCATTTCATTTCATTTTTTTTCCCCAAAAGAGAAAAAGGGAAGGCAAACACAAAAAGAATTCATTGAGCACTGTCATAGATAAGGCTCTCAGTTCGGTGTTTAAGATGCGCGTTGTGTGAGTCTAACCCCGGCTACGCCCTGGTGAGATGTGAGTCACCTCAGATTGTGGTTCAAATAGCATGCCAACCATTTATAAGAACTCACATACCATTATACTTTGGAGCCAGGATGCCAACCCAGGCCTGCCTGTAAATCTCCTGCACTTTCCTCTGCACCGCACTGAGAATACACTTTGCACTATGATAAAGACGCTTCTCGGATTTATTTGCTGTCTTTTAAGCATTACCACTCTTAGCAAGTGGTTTCTAAGATGCCACATATAGATGGAGGAGGCCTGATGGTGTCGTGGTTACGTGTTGGGCGGCTGACCACAAGGCCGGCAGTTTGAAACCACCAGTCTCTCCAAGGGAGGAAGAGGAGGCTTTCAGCTTCTGTAAAGAGAGGCTCAGAAGCCCATGGGGCAGTTCTACTCTGCCCTCTAGGGTTGCTATGAGCCAGACTCAACTTGATGGCAGGGGAAAAAAAGGTATCCTAGATAAATGTGTGATTCTCCTAGCCTGGATGCTAACATGCGGCAACTCTTCACTATGGTGTTGGATTAATTTTTAATCTCAGGTTCCTGAACATCTAGAGAATTTGGAATAGTAGTCTCAATCATCTAAAACGATGAAATCACTAGAAGACGTATTTGTGAAGCTCTTAACACTGCCCTGTAGCCACCCTACAGGGCAGAGTAGAACTGGCTCATCGGGTTTCTGAGACTGTAAATCCTTTCAAAGCAGACGGCTGCCACATCGTCTGTTTTGCTGAGTGAGTCACTGGTGGGTTTGAATCCCCAGCCTCTGGGTAGCAGGCAGGAGCTCATGCACTGTGCCGCCAGGCCCCTTTGTCTTGAGACACATCTAACTTCAGGTCACTTTGTTGGTGTAACAGCCAACCCAGGCTTCAAAACGTTTGACAAAAGAGTGAGTAGGCTCTATCCTATCTTCATAAACTGAAGTGTAAAACATGCTTATCCATACATACTGATCCAACAATAAAGGCCATCTTGATCAGAATTGGGCATTGTGTCAAGAAAAACCAGCTTGCTATGTCTGTCTGGGTTGACTAGAGAAACAAATTGATAGACACTCATATATGTGTAAGACAGTTTTCTGTCAAAGAGTAATTTTATATTAAGAAAACATCCCAGCGCAGTCCAGTTCAAGTTCATAAATCTGATATTAGCCCATATGTCCAATACCAGTCTATAAATTCCTCTTCAGATGCACACAACACATGCAATGACGCCAAATGCAGGAAGATCACAAGCCAGTGGGTGGAAAGTCTTGTGGATCCAGGGGCTGGTGGAAGCATCTCAGTTCTGGGAGGGGTCTCCACATGGCTTCTCCACCTCCAGGGCTCTGGCGCCATCAGGGTAGCTCCATGTAACTATCTCTGTAGCACCTCCAAATGAGGTCATCAAGTTGCGACCTGATTGACATACTAAACTCCACCCCTTCACTCTTAGTAGTCTCAAGTTGACACCAGATTATGTAACTGCCACACTTGCCAATGTTACCTATGTTGTTCCTTCTTGTGGAGCACCAGGACAACAGTAAGTCTGTGTAAGGGAGGGGTGGTTAAAAGGAATGATAATTAGTAGTCAGGGGCCATCATGTTATTGAAGCCAGGTCAGCGTTTTCGAAAGCCTGCTCCTGAGGACTCACAGTCACCTTCAAAGTCCACACCCAGATTACTTATACTTTGAAAAATAATTCAGAGCAACAAACTTAGACCGAGAGCTCTGGTATCACAGTGGGTTATGGGTTGGAGTGCTAACTGCAAGGTCAGCCGTTCGAAGCCACCAGCCGCTCTGCAGGAGAAAGATGCCGAAACCCATGGGGAGAGTTCTGTTCCCTGCGGTCAGTTTGAGCTAGAACGGACTCCACAGCAGTGAGTTTGGTTTCAGTGGGTCACGTTTAGGAAGTACCCTAAGTGGACTTGTAACATTTCAGCCTCTGTTCTGGGAATAAACTCTAAATCATGCTATGAGAGGAAGAACAGCTGTAATTGCATAGGCCAGGTGTTCACATCACCTTCCTTTTATTGCAAAGAGGCTTGTTTGTTATAAATATAATGTGAAGACTGGCCCAAGGATATTCCGAGTGATCATTCTTTTGTTTACTGTACAGGCCATGTCGGCGCCCCAATGCCTTGCAATCATGTAAAACTCGTGGATGTGGAAGAAATGAATTACATGGCTTCCAAGGGTGAGGGTGAGGTGAGTGGATTCCCATTATTCGAGATCTCACGCTTCATGTGCTTTCCGCTAAGGGCCAGCCACTAGGGATGCAGGGCCATCGCCCAGCACAGGGTCCGCTAAAGCTCCTGTACTTGACGGTGTTGGTGATCTGGGGACCAACAGGCACCTCTCCATGAAGGTAGTTGGAAGTGTAACACTGGGGGTGGGGGTGGCTAGCGGATGTGGATGCCTCCTGCCTGACGTGGCAGGGACATGGGTCCCAGACCAGGCTGAGAGAGGCTCCTGTGACCCAAGTCGTCAGGGCCCTCCTCCATCTGCTGATTGACCTTGGTAAGCTACTGGCTACTGATGGTAACTCTAATTGCTTCAAAGTGATTTCAACCCCTTTGGGGTTTTCCAGCAGCTCTGAGCTGGGACTTAAGCAAGCATTAGCCCTCTAGTTTGACTGCCATGGGAGCGACCAAGAATGGGAAATGGGGATTTGGGGGTGGGGATGGGGTGCTTCTCTGGTCCTAGTGGGCTCTGAGGGTTCCCTCTGGATGATGCAACGTAGGATTTCTAGCTACAGGTTGGGGTGCATGCATGCACACAGTTTTTTTCTTTCAAAAAGTCTCCAATAAATGCCATTAACCTATCATTTGTTGGTGGTTTTTTCCCTTCAGGTGTGTGTGAAAGGGCCAAATGTATTTCAGGGCTACTTGAAGGACCCAGCACAAACAGCAGACGCTTTAGATAAAGACGGCTGGTTGCACACAGGGGACATTGGGAAATGGTTACCGGTGAGTTGCCACCTCCTGTTCACAGATGGTTTTGTTCTGGCACAGGGGAGAATGCGTCCCCTTTGCTGTCTGGCTGCCATTCGGCACCCTCCCGTCTCCACTGCTTCCTCCTTGCTGAGAGGCTGGGCTCTCAGAATACTTGTGTGGGATTTCCCCATAACATAGCTTAGGTGTTCTGTTTGGTTGTTTGCTGTTGTTGCTTGCTTGCTGTCACTGCCTCTCTGACACCAAAAGAGGTCATGACTTACTACAGTGGAGATGCTGTGCATTGACCTTGCTGCATGGGGGCAACAAAGGCCCTTGGAAACGGTGGCAGTCTTCCTAGAATGTGGTGAACAGCAAGGCTTGGTGAATAAAGGGGTTTCTTAGGTTTGTCATCTTGTTAAAAATAGAGTATTTCATCAGGTCTTCTGTTTTGTCACTGACCCTCTACTCTACCAAGCAAGATGTCCTTCTCCAGGGACTGGCCCCTCCTGAGAACACGTCCAAAGTGCGTGAGACGAGGTTTCATCATCCCCGCATCTAAGGAGTACTCTTCCCGTACTTCCTCCAAAAGATATTTGTTCCTGCTTGTGGCGGTCAGTGGTACTGTCAGTATTCTTCACCAGAGCTGCAACTCTAAGGCCTCAGCTCTCCTTGGGGCTTCCTTATTCTGTGTCCATATGAAGCAGCTGACAGTGCCATGCGTGGCTCAGGCACACCTTGGCCAAGGTGACGTCTTTGCTTTGTAACCCTTTAGAGAGGAGAAATCCTTTGCAGAAGATTTGCCTCATGCAATCCATCATTCGATGTCTTGACAGACAGCTGGTAGCACGGGTGGTGCATGTGGCTCTGGGCAAAATGAAACCCTTGGCGATTCAGCACTCTCTCCACTTCCCGTGTTATTTATTGACCCAGTCCTGCGGATTTTTGTTTCACGCATGTAGAGGTGTGATCCACACTGGAGATTGTAGTCTTTGGTGCTCATCAGTAAGTGCTTCAAGCACTCTTTACTTTCAGCGGGCTGGGCCGTGGCCTTTGCATGTCACAGGGGCTAATGCGTCTTCCAGCCATCCTGACACCGCAGTCTTCTCCTAGCCGAGTTTCTCGGCTGATTTGCTCAGCACACGGAGTGAATAAGGGAGAGGATGCGACCTCTAGTGCACACTTTTCCTTGTTGTGAAGCATGCAATATCCCTTTTTTCTGTTCAAACAAGCACTGCTCTTTCTGTGGTCTGTGTTTAATTGCAAATACTAACATGGCTAATTTTATGTTATATAATAGCTAATGTTATAGATGTAAATGGGATCTGATACTCTTGAATTTCCATTGGTAAAAAAGTGCCCCCTCAAATCAATTCAGATGTGAGGCAGAAGCCATTATTTAGGAATAAATTAAGGCCCTCTTTTCAGGTTTAAGAGGAATTGCTTGCCCGCGTTAACTCTGACTCTAGTGAACACGTCCGATAACTTCTTTGGACCTCAGTTTGCTTCCTTTGAAAATGAAGAAGTGCGGGATGAGGGAATGCGAGAATCTTTCCCGCAGATGGCTCTGGGCGGCGTGACAATGCTTCAGGGTAGCGCTACGTAGAACTGCCAGGTGTGGGGTTGATTACCATTCTAACAGGAGACGTGTGCTTGATTCGTTCAAGGACGCTAACCTTCCAGCAGTTAGGTAGTGTGGCCTTTTGTGCAAAGGCTCATCTTGCCTGAGGGGCCAGTAATACCCTCCCCACCTCCTGTAAACCAGTGATGGAAGAAACTGAAACCGTGCCTCTGTAGCGTGAGCCGTTAGGGAGCCTTCACTCTGTGCAGCAAACTGAGAGGGCGAGCAGGCGGTATGTCCCTGCTGTCTAGGAGCGTCACTCATTTGGAGAGCCAGCTAGGCATGTACCTAACTCAGCTAGGAGAAGACCAGGGAAGCAGGCTGAACCAAAAGGAACAAGTTTAGCACTGCTGCCGGCTGCCGAGGGGGATGGAGCATAGGCTCCGGGGTCCCCTGTCTGTCTCCATGCTTAGCCAAAGGGCCTCGGGCAAGTGACTCAGTCTCTCTCAGCCTCCGTTTTTCTTTCTATAAAATGGGACGACGTGACGCTGAAACAAATAGCGCATGTAAAACCCTGTTCTGCCGGTGCCTGATGCTGGGTGGACGCTTTCTCTGGACCCACCCACAGCCCCCTCCCCTCTCCACAACAGAATGGCACCTTGAAGATTATCGACAGGAAAAAACACATATTTAAACTGGCACAAGGAGAATACATCGCACCTGAAAAAATTGAAAACATCTACGTGCGAAGTGAACCTGTTGCTCAGGTGTTTGTCCATGGAGAGAGCTTGCAGGTATGTGCTAGGTTTAAAGTCTGCTGTGCAGGCATGGCTACAGCGGCCTTGGGGTTTTAAGTGGGAGAGGAAGTGGGGGGCTAGGATGACTTAACTGCCACGTCTCATATGCTGGCATGGCCTTTGTCCACTCCTGGCTTTCGCTCCGCGGCATTTATTCCTTACCCAGAAAACATTTTTCTCTTTAACTTCTATCATTTTATTTTACCTAGAGTGGTCCATGTACCAAGGAAAAGGTGTGTGAAGAGGAGGGGGTGATAGCTTTTTAAATTTTACTAAGGAAGATTGACAATCTTGAGGTTATTAAGAATCTCTGCATATTAAATCAAGCTTATTTCAGAACTGTCTCCCACAGTATTATGTTTTAAAAACAGTGTGTTGACATATAATTCACATCCTAAATGATGTTTTATCTCAGGGTAGTCGTGAACCAAAGCATGCCCACGGTCATCCCTAGAGCTGTTGCAGGCAAATGCAGATTTGCCAACGTGCTGAGCAGAGAGTTAGTTGTAAGGAAGAGAAGGTGGCCTGGTTCCCAGACATTTAGCCTATTTTTCAAATCTTGATACTTTTAATGATTTTATAATTATATTTTCTTGTTTTATGTAAGATGGTATCTACTTTTTTTAAGACTACATCTATTTTTCTTTGACCCAGAATCTTGTAATCCTTTTGCTTTTTATCGTGTTTTAGTAGTATGTTACAAAAAATAAAGTATTAAAGCTCTTTCTTCCCCAAGTTAATTTGTACATATTTTTCTAACTTTTTTGTAAACAAGCAGTGCTTAGAGGTGTATCACCTTGTCTGGTTACTTGGCCCTGTTTTAGAAAAGTGCACGTACAAGTACATAAAGGTGATTTTGTTAAGCTGGCAGTTAGCGGTGTTTCTTTTCATGCATTTACGGTAGGATGACCAATGCCATTCATCCTTCGGAGCCAGGCATTTCTCACCTGGCTAAGTATGTCCTGGAGGCTCAGGCTTTCTTTCGTCAGGTTGCCCCTTGAGGCTTGTCATCCCAGAATAATGAAGAAGCACTATGCTAGAGCATTTGAGTCCAGCCATGTAATAATGCCCATGTCTCTCCGTATTCAAGTCATTTCTCATAGCAATTGTGGTACCAGATGTTGAAACCTTAGTCCACTGGGCCCAAAAGAAAGGCTTTCAAGGATCCTTTGAAGAACTGTGCAGAAGTAAGGTACGGCTCTGAAGTGGGCATTCTATCTTCTTTATCTAGCCTTTGTGTTACATGTACCTGTGGGTATCCAGGTATCACCAACAGAGGCCATCTTTTGTTTTTCTACCTGATTAGGATGTCAAAAAGGCTATCCTAGATGACATGGTGAGGCTTGGGAAGGATTCCGGTCTGAAACCATTTGAACAGGTAAGGCTGTCATCAAAATCCATGGACTCCTGGAAGACACATTTTTTTGACTTATGCTTTTTATTTTTTAACAAATAAATTATACTACAGATGGAGATATCTAAAGAAATCCATGCAGAATCACGGGGGGCTGTTGGGCAGAGAGAGTTTTTAGGGTATGAATTCTCTCTTGTTTTTATTTTTGGAGGTCAGGATACACTCCTGAATTGAGTGCCAAGAATAGAATACTTGCCTTTATGGAGTGTGCTCACCTCCAGCCTGGCCTGGGTGAGAGATGGATTGGCTCCCCCATAAGGGTCTTTATACCTTTCAGTGGTTTATGTGCTTTCTCAGGAGGACTGGTGGTGTGTCGCTTACGTACTCAGCTGCTCATCGGATCTGCTATTCAAACCCCCCAGCAGCTTCGTGGGAGAAGCTAGCTGGCACTCGGCTCCTGTAAAGCCTAGGAAATAGAGTTTCCTACTCTGCCCTCTAGGAGCCTGGTGGTGTAGTGGTTCTGTGTTGGGTTGTGATCCTCATGGTCGCAGTTCGAAGCCGCCAGCATTTCCGCAAGAGAAAGAGTGGGCTTGCTCCTCTCTACACAGCCACAGCCTCAGACGCCAACAGGGAGTGCCACTATGAGTCAGCTGACTGGGTGGCAGTGAGTTCCCTCTGCCCTGTACAGGAGGCCTGGTAGCATAGTGATTACTTGTTGGGCTGCTAACCACAGAGTCCGCAGTTCAAAACCACCAGCCACTCCTCAGGAGAAAGGCAAGGCTTTCTCCTTCCTAATGGAGTCACAGTTTCGGGAACCCACGGGAGCAGTTCTACCCTATCCTATAGGGTCACCTTGAGGCAGAATGGCTGGCAGTGAGACTCTGGCCTGCAGGGTCCCCTTGAGGCGGAGTGGACTTGCTGTCCACAGCAATAGCTGTGCCTTCAAGACTCGGGTGGCAGCTTTCCTCCTGTAATAGCCCTGTCTCTTTGCAGGTCAAAGGCATTGCCCTACACTTGGAATTGTTTTCTGTTGACAATGGCCTCCTGACTCCAACAATGAAGGCTAAAAGACCTGAGCTACGGAATTATTTCCGGCCCCAGATAGAGGAACTCTATTCCACCATCAAGGTCTAATGTGAAGAAGGGAGCCTGGGAAACAGAAGTAAAAGCAAACCGCACACCTCCACAGTCTGTTCTCCTGATGACCTCCGGTTGGTAATTTGGACTGCAGCACGCACAGGGAAGGAAACCTTCGTGTCTGACTTATCCCCTCGGGGTTCTTGTCACAGAACTAGCCGAGGAAATGGAACACTGCCTTACTGTCACCTCGTGTTGCAGACCGTGTCTATAGTGATAAACAATTCCCAAAACGAGCCTTAAAAATTGTAAAGCGGAAACTATAAATGTGCTAAGTTATTTGAGACTTCCTCGAGTTTAAAAAGTGGGTGTTAAAACTTCTGTTTCTCTGTTTTTCTAACCACGGGGGTTAGGACTTTGCTATTTCCGAGATGTCTGCCACGTGCTGCAGATTCCGCAGCGCTGCGCTACGGGTACAGCGCACTGAGCGCAGTTGTCCAGACTGGAGAAAGTCCAAGTGGACCAGAGATTTCCTTCCTTCCTTCAGTCCCACTCCCCATCCTTCCTCATCTCACACGCACTCACACAGCCCCTCTGATTCAAGGTGGGGAAGCTCACGCCCCTCTCTGTGGCCCCTCTTGTTCAGAAGGACAGAGCCAACTGCTGTGTCTCCGAGGGACGCTCACGGGGTGAATGGACTGTCACCCATGCTGCACCCAGTCTCCCAGACTCTGCTTTCCGGACTTGGCTCCCTCCCCCCAGGGGGTACTGAAAAATCTGCCTTAGACTCCACAGTGAAGACCGAGGTGAGGGCCTGAGTAAACTGTGTTCAACCGTGACCCCTGAGTTCCTGTCCACCTACTCTTCACTGCAGCAGTCACTGTTTGTAATGGCCAACAGGTGTTTCATGTGGTTTTCATATTAAAAAGAGACGACTGTGTGTGCTGTGCTTAACTCGCTTTTGTCCCCCTCCCCGCTCCCCACCGGAATAAACTCTCAGGCAAAGTCTGTCTTTGGAAAAATATTAAGGGAGGAGATTGTCTTGGGTCCTTGTTGAAATGGGCAGCGATAAGCAAATGTTCTTCTATCACAGTGCTACATGATTTCTATGAAATATATCTGAAAAGCCAAACTTCTAGAATGTAGATATCTGGAAAAGAAAAAAAATTATTTCCTGGGTTTCACTTCTCAAGGGAATTTTTTTTTTTTTGAGGTCATTTGGGTAAATTAGCAGCATTTCATTTTACTGCCAGCCTTTGCCACATTTGACTGAATGAAGTTATCATTTATACATTGGAAGCAGTTGTTTTTTGGGTATGTGAGAGTCCGTGTGTTAATCAAGCACAACAGGGTTTGCATAAAGAACTGTCACTGTAATAACACTATTTGGTAGCCTACCATCATCTGTGTATTCTGACTTGCACAAAAAGTCAATAATTTGTCACCTTGGGGTTTTGAATGTTTGCTTTAAGTGTTGGCTCTTTCTATGTTTTATAAACCAAAACAGAATTTCCAAAAACAATGAAGGAAACCAAAATAAATATTTCTGCATTTCAAGTGAGTGAAGCATCTCTTTTAAGGTCCTGTCTTGGGGGCTGGGGGGGGCGGTGTGTGAGCAGCCTGTGAGGGGCACGTGGACGCTGGCAAAGAGCAAGGAGGACATTCAGCCCCTGCTGCCTCCCCGCAGTCTCCTGTGCCCAGGCCACCCGCCTCTCAGGCAGTGGTGCTCCGGCCCTGCACAGCCCTTGGCAAGGTTGTCTCTGGCAAAGGTCTTCGCATGCTGTGCTCTATCGTGGGATGAACCCACAAGATCTGTTCCTAAGATTCTGTGGATCATTCAGAACACCCGGTGCTTGTTTGCTTCACTTGGGTGCGTAAAAAGGAGCCCTGGCGGGGCTGTTCAGCTAAGCACTGGGCTGCTGACAGCAAGGTCAGCAGTACAAATCCACCAGCTCCTCCACAGCTTAAAGAGGAGGTTAGCTGATCCTGTAAAGATTTACAGCCCCTGAAGCCCCATGTGGGACCACCATGAGTCAAAACCAACTGGAAGGCATTGGGTTGGAGTTAAGGCAAGTAAAGAGTCGAAAGCTTTTCAGAGAGTCGAGGACGGCGTTGTCATCTTCACAACTGTGTGAAGCTGCTGGCACCGAATCTGTTGGGAACCAAGTGTCAGGTTGGTTTAATGGTTTCACGGTAGGGCAAGTTTATATAGCATTAAAAGGCAGGCAGGAGTGGTCTCTTAAGTCAGAGGTGAGTGACCCACGAACTGCATGTATTCCTGAAAATGTAAACTCTGCTGCAGAGCTACTGTCCCTGCATGATAATTGGCTCCAGCTGGTAGTTTTGTGGTTGATTTAATTCAGCTGTACTTGATGGAGTCTCTTGTAGAATGATCTTATATGATGCAGCAGCTACCTCACCCTGTTTTTATATTTTAAAAAGTACCTTTCTCAGGTATGAGTCCACTGTAAAACAATGTTTTTTAAATATCATGGTGGCAGTGTTAGCCAACCTCCTCGTCTAAATTCAGAAGGGAGAGGAGAAGCACTGAAAAGCACTACCCCAAGGCTGATTTTTATAAGCAGATCAAACATACCACTCTTCCCTCCTGGTCCTCTCTACTTCCCTACTGGGTTCAAAAATTCATTATCATGACTACGTGTAATACTCAGGAGTATAGGGCTTGCTAGAGAAACAACAGAATGCAATCCAGGATCAGGAGTGGTTCAGGAGACAGTTCTTGGGTCAGGACACTTTCTCAGCTAATGTTTGTGGGCTATCCTCCCCCTCACTTTCATCCCCTCAGGCTTTTTGGACTGGCCTGGCCTTTGGCCCAGCCTAGGCAAGTGTTCTCAGTTCTTTAGCTCCACTGATAAGGCCCTAGAGGCACCCCACTTTGCCAGTAAGCCTTGGCCCAATAGGTTCTCAGCTCTCCAGCTCTGTAGGAGGTATCTCGCTCTGCCAGCAAGCCTCCTGCCCATGTCCTGGTTTTGCTGCCACTTGCAGTCTCTCTGTTGACGTTGTATTACATGCTCTCTCTGTCTCCTGGGTCTAGGAGGTTCTCGGCACAGGGATTCTTGCTCCAAAGGATAGACTGTACTCTTGGCGCATCTTTCTTGGTGGGAGTGAGGTCCCACCTGTCTATCTGTAGGATGGCTCAGTTTCAGCTTAGCCAGATGCAAAACTGACCAATGCCCTTATTAGGGTTCTATTCACCTTATTTACACGGCCCTAAGGCCACAAGGGTGGCATGTACCTACTGTGCATTATTAGAAAGCTATTCAATCCTTTTGGTTGGTTAGAAAAGCCTCCATTGCATGGCTCTTCCCACCCTGAGGGAGAAAGATGCAGCTTTCTATATAGAGTAAACAGTCCTGTAAAGAGTTAACAGTCTCAGAAGCTCAGATACACTAGTGGCCCTCTCACAGGGAAGCAACAAAACATGGAAGAGGCACACCAGCCTGCGTGATCACGAGGTCTCTCTCGATGGGATCAGGTATCAAAAGGTCAAAAACAAAGCGCAGGTGTTCACGAAATAAACCGTGACTGAACAAACAGACTGCTGAACAAAGCTCATCTTGTAAAGACGTTGGCAAACTGCTGCCTCGCTCCGGACTTGCATGGCGAGCTATGGGCGGAGGGTGGGGTTGGGGTGGCGGGTGCACAAACCCCAGCAAAATAATAATATAAAATCATAAGGGTTCCTGGGGAGGAGGGTAGGTGGGGAGGGGATGAAGAGGAGCTGATAGCAGAGTGTTCAAGAAGAAAGAAAATGTTTGAAAAGTATGGTGGCAGCCATTGTACAACTACGCTTGATTTAATTGAACGATGGATTGGTATGATATCGGTAAGAGCTCCCAATAAAACAATTGCAGAACAAAACAGGAAGACATGGTGGCTCCCAACATGACTGGCTGGCTGACTGTGAGGCAAGCCTTGGTCCCCCCAAGCACCTGCGTGGTAAGTTCTTTCAGCGACCTCTGTGGGAAATGCGGGCCAAGGTAGGAAGCTAGTGTGGGGAACCAGAAGCCAGCCTGAAAGGCACTGCCCCCCGTAGAGCTAGGCCCGCCCCTCCCTCCACCTGCAACCAGGACACGCCCGCATTCTGTACCTGCACTTGGAAACGCAGCTGGCTTTTAAGTCTATTTGACGTTTGGCAGTAAAATATTTTGCTCCACCCTATCTTAGATTGTAATCATAATATGAACTCAAATGCATGGGCGAATTGCTGTGAGCCAAGAACAGATTTATTTTTTGAAGCATTTTATTTAGATTGAGCTCTTTTTGCTTCCCCATTTACTGGTGGGTCTTGGGTCAGTCGGAGGCCTGATGGCACAATGGTTTAAGCACTCAGCTGCTAAGCAGAAGGCTGGTGTTTGGAATCGACCGGCCACTGCAGGAGGAAGCTTCCGCCAGCCTGCATCTGTGCAGAACCTAGCCCGGGACGCCCTGGGGGACTGTCCTGCTTTGCCCTGGAGCAGTGGTTCTCCACCTTCCTTTCCTACAGTTCCTCGTTTGGTGCTGACTCCCAACCATAACATCATTGTCGTTGCTACTTCATCACTGTCACTTTGCTACTGTTATGAATCAGGTGACTCTGGTGAAAGGGTCGTTCGACCCCCAAAGGGGGCATGACCCACGGGTTGAGAACCACTGTCAGGGAGGATCACTGAGTCAGACACGATTCAATGGCCATGGGTATTTGGTCTGTGGCGGGGCTGCCTAGACTGTTGCACCAACCACTCCCCCCTCTACCCCCGCCCCCTCAGCCCCTCCTCCCCAGCCCTTGGCAAGGACGTTCCCGGCACGTGTGTCATTGGACTGTGTCTTTGGACCCGCAGATCGGCTGCTGAATCTCAGGTTTCTGTTTTAGACTCCTAAGGGTGCGTCTTTCTCAAAATGAAGTCTAATACCATTGCACCCGCCCCTTGTTTTCATGTTTTCTAAACTCAGAACAAAAACTCACCGGTGTCGAGGTGATTCCTACTCAGAGCAAACCTGGTAGGACAGGGTGGAGCTGCCCCTGTGGGTTGCCAAGTTGAGCCCTGGTGGTGTAGGGGTCACCATTTAGGCTGTGTGTTAGTCTGGGTACTTTAGAGAAACAAATCCACAGAAACTCATGTATAAGAGAGAGTTTTCTATCAAGGTTAAGTGTGCATCAAGAAAACATCCCAACCCAGTGCTGCCCAGGCCCACAAATCCAACATTAACCCTTATGTCCAACACCAATCCACAAAGTCCTCCTCCATCTCATAAAACAGACGCAATGACGCCAACTGCAGGAGGAAAGCCGCGTCAGTGAGTGTGTAAGCATCTCAGTGCTTGCAGGGGTCTCCATGCGGCTGCTCCAGCACCCAGAGCTGCATAGGGGTAGGTCCATGTGGCTTCTCCCTGGGGATGTCTCGTAGGAAGTGAGCCTCGCCAGCTGAAGCAGGGAACTGTCTAAGGCAGCTGCACCCTGGTCCCACCATCAGAAAGCAAGAGACCCGAGAACTAGAAACACGAGGCTCACGGAGCCGTTTACCCCGCCTTCCTTCAATTAACACCACGTGTGTTTGTCGGCCAGGTTGGCACAGTACACTAACTACCTCAGCAGCCCTAACCACAAAGTCAGCAGTGTGAAGCCACCAGCCCTGCTGGTGAGGAAGACAGACTTTCTTCACCTGCAAAGAGTTAACGGTCTCGGAAACTCTGTCTTCTGTTTTGTAGCTTTTACCAAACGTAAATGCTGGTGTCGGTGAGGCTTAATAACCCCCATCCACGAAGGTTAGAAAGTTAAAGAGCCATTCTATGTTAGGAAGGAAATAGGCTTGAAGCCGAGAAACAAATGCTCTACAGGTTCGTGAGCTCCCGCAGAATGTCTAGGAATCGCAAACTATAGACAGACCACTATCCGTGGCCGTTGAGTCGACCCGGGCTCCTGGTGACCCTGTAAGACAGAGTAGAGCTGCCTCGCAGGTGACTGGCTGCCATCTGTTTGGAAAGAGATTGCTGCAGCATTCTCCTGCAGAGTGAACGCAGGTTCTAATCGGCACCCTTTCAGTTAGCAACCCAGTCTTTAAAGCACCCTTGGGGCTTCTGGATGCAACCATAATGAGAGGTATAAGCAGCATAAGGCCCCTGGGTGTCTAGTAGTGGGAGTCCTTGTGGTGTGATGGGTTGCACTCTGGACTACTAGCGGCCACATCTTTCTCCTGCACAGGTCATGGGTTCTAACTGCTGGCCTTTAAGTTAGCAGCTGAGCACTAAGGCTCCGTCAGCATCTCATCATTGTTCAAAATCTTGCCACCTGCCATTCCAAAGAGCATTCTGGCTGTATTTCTGCCAAGACAAATGTATTTTCTTTTCTGGCTGTCCGTCAGCATCTCAAAGTTGTTAGGACTATGGGACTTTATCCTGGATCTGGGGAAGATGTGTAGATGGGGGATGTAAAGGAAGGGCCAAACGGAACCCTGGACGTCCTCTGATATTTGCAGGGGCCTTAGAGGAGCTAGCAACAGGAACGAAGAATTCCCCGCTATGGAGAAAGATGGAAAACCAAGCACATGGCATCCCCA